TTATCATCTCGCGGACCCCAACCACGTAGCCTACACCTACCAACATGACTCATTACACTTGTCAGTGACTTCATGGACTTGTGCCATGTTTTGGTCTGGCCGCCCCATGTTTCGCATCCGTATAGTAGGACAGAGCGAACTGCTGCACAGTACACTCGTCCTTTAGTCAGCAAACGGATATCTCGCCTGCGCCATAAGTGATGCAGGTTGGCAAAAGCCAATCGAGCCTTCTGTATCCGTGCTGAGATTTCGTCAGTCACCAGGCCATCATCAATGATAAGACTACCCAGATAGGTGAAGCGGTCTACACGTTCGACTACTTCACTCCCTATCACTAGTTCAGGTGCCGATGCAACCCAATCTTGAAGCAACATTTTGCATTTCGAGGGTGAAAATCGTATCCCGAACATGCTTGCATTGTTGCTTATAGTGGTCAGAAGACTCCATTTTGTCAGCATCTTGAACACTGGTTTACGTACCCACCTGATTGGCTGACTGACTGACTAACTGAAGAACACATTGGACCGTGAATTGTTATCACAACACTATTTATCTTACATATTCTGATTAAAAATTCATTATTTTATTTCACAATTGTTGTTGTTCAATATTATTGAATCAATCAATGTTAACCAACTATGAACTGATTAGTTGAACAGATTTTTTTTTCCTTAGACAAAATTTGATTTTTTTAAAAATTGAAATAACAGTAATCCTTGTCAATATACAACCGTGGCTCTATGTGTGCGTGCGTGCGTACATTCATTTGTTTATTTGTGTTCACTATGTTTGTGTGTGTACACACACTATGAAAATGACCTTGCAAAAATCAATACTGTTTGTTTGTTTGTGTAGTTTTTGACCGAAGTGAATACCCAACTAATTCATACTAAGGATTTCTTCTATGAGGGAAAAAAATTAAACCTTAGATATTGACTATTCATCATTCTACTGTATGTACTATGATGGATTATATCTCAGCTCGGATACAGAAGGCTCAATTGGCTTTTTACCAACCTGCGTCACTTATGGCGTAGGCGTGATATACGTTTGCTGACTAAAGGACGAGTGTACTGTGCAGTAGTTTGCTCTGTCTTACTTTATGGTTGTGAAAAATGGCCAGTGAGAGTAGAAGATATTCGTAGGTTATTGGTTTTCGATCATAGGTGTCTTCGAAGCATTGCTCGTATATCGTGGGACACCCCGAGTGAAGCAACTGCTGTTATTAGGAAACGGGTGATAGGTAAGAATGGCAGATCAATAGACGCAGTAGTAACACTTCATCAGTTGAGGTGGTTGGGACATGTGTTGCGTATGGCCAACCACCGACTGCCTCGACGAGTTACGTTTTGTGATGTACGAGTATGTTGGAAGAAAGTTAGGGGCGGCCAAACCAAAACATGGCACAAATAGATGAAATCATTGACGAGTGGACTTAGCCGTGTCGGTAGTTGTCGACTACCACCTAGTTGGTGTCCGCGAGACGAAAGTCACCAATGGTTAGAGACCCTGAATGACATGACTTAAAACCGTTTGCAATGGTACATGTATATTCACTCCATTCTAATCTTCTGGATTCTTGAATAATATCTTCGAACCCTAATCTCTTCGGATTACTTCTAATACCTTTACTACCTGTAACTACTATTGGATTTGAATTGACAATTATATCTCTGTGCTAATTTGGTGGTATGGCAACATGAACTGATGTACGTACTTACGTACAAAGTTCTACGTTGCATCTGACTGACTATCTCATGTCGGGACACGTTTTTTTTACTCTCAATAGTGAAACTCTCATCTTCCCCACCTGAGTTAGTGGTAGTAGTAGTAGTATCCTTTAACGGTTGTTACTAGTTTGTTCTATAAATAATCTATACTAAGAATATAAATTCTTTTCATCTTACAAATCTGTTCACAAAAATCAATAAAATCTAGACTTGTGATAGTTTACTTTAATTGTCATCTTCTCTGTCACAAAATAGTAGTAGTAGCAGTAGTAGTGCTGTAGGTAGTAGTATTAGGGGTAGTAGTAGTAGTAGTACACATTAACTGTTTCAAAATTCAATTTTTCAATAATGAATCATGCATACCATGTTTAAAATTACGTTATTATTATTTTTTTCTTTTAGTTTTGTAAAAAATTTCAAACTGTGTGTGTGTATGTGTACTTTATCATATAAGAGTAATCAGTGGGTTGTATTACTTACTTATGTGGATAGATAGTGCTATCGTTTGTCTTTTGGTGTCTTACTGTTTGTTTCTGCTTGTAAATCCGCGCGCGCGCGCGCATCATTTAAAAATTTACATAGTTTCGTCAATTCTTTATTTTTTTTATCACCTTTCCGTTCAGTCACACAAAAAAGTACACACAGAGAGACAGAGAGATAGCGATAAAAAAAATCAAAGTAAAACTTTTTAGCCAATCAATCAATCAATCGAATGTGATCAGTTGATCAATGAATTTTCTGGTAAAAAAAAACCAAAAAATTGTATCACCACACAAAATTAAATGACGGAAAAAACACGAACACTGTTGGAATGGTTATGTGTGTGTGTTCAAGGCCGTTGTGTGTTTTCTACGGGCAGCGGGGAAGCTTAATTTATTGACTAATGACCAGTGTAACTGTTAGTTTTCGCTGACCTACTACTACTACTACTACTACTACCTCGATGATCGATATAATCGGGTGTAGGAGGAGGAGAGAGTAGACTGGAAGAAAGTTAAGGGCGGTTCAATCGAAATTTGGCACCAATGTCTGAAGTGATTAACTATTAATCTGAACCATGGTAATCTATGTAGGCTACGTGGTGTCTATAGTCTGCGAGATAATCGTAGCTAGTGATTAGAGAGTTTTTGAGTGGACATGGTTCAAGATTTTTTTACAATAGCGTAGAGATGCATGCGTTCATTCTTATTCTTCTCAGAATTGTTTTTAACTTTTGAATCCTTTATGACATCAGTCTATGAGTTCATTAACAATTGGACTGAATCATGTTAAGCAGGTGTAGACTATCTGGTTAGGATCTGCGAGAGTATAGTTAGAGACTTCGAATAGTGACATGGCTCAATATTGTTTGTAATGAAGCAGATGCGTCCACTGTTTGTGTTCTCTCAAATTCTATTCATCTGAATTCCTTACAGTTTTTCTTTTTTTAAACTTATCTCTGTGTGATATGCTTCTTCGATTACTGTTAATAACTGCTACAATATCTACTACAATGAGATTTGAATTGAGAATTCTATTTCTCTGTGCTAATGTGTTGATGGTATGACAACTTGAACTGATGTACGTACATGTACCATGTTCTGCGCTATAGCTGACTGACTGACTGTATATATTGTTGCAGTTTAGTATATCAGGTCATCGATGTTTTAATTGTGTAAAAGAAACTATTCATTTGATTGTTAAACGTTTATCTCAAGAGAATATGTGTGCCACATAACCGAGACTATTATTCTGTCAAGAAAACTGTACACTGTTTACTACCGTGTATGCTTCAGATGAGATAAGATAATGGCCCGCAGTGGAATCCAGGAAGAGCTTGTCATTCTATATTGGAATCATTTTCAACCGGGTCTATCTAAGTTCCTCTACTCGAACTTATTACCGTAACTGACTGGACAACTCGATGACCTTTAAAGCGAACGATGCTGAGTTCGAGTCCAGTAGCGGACATCAACTTTGGTAAAAATGAGCCTTATCTAATACGGACCGCCATCATTTATCCTCACAAGACGGGCATATGCCAAAAGAGACTGATCGATTGCATTATCCAACCTTTTTATTACGAGTTGATTTTCCACGGGATGAGGTCGCTACCTTATCCGGGCTTGGCGTCAGTAGTAACCTCAGTAGGGCTCTCAGTGGATTTATATATAAAATATGCCACAGCTAAGTGGATATTGTGGTGGCATTAAACGAGGACAATACTGAGTTCGAGTTCAGGAGTGAACATCAACTCTGGTAAAAATGAGTCTTAAATGGTATGAAATGCTCGTCCACTGGATACATCCGCTAGCCGCAATTCATTCTCAAAAAGTTGGGCATATGCCAAAAGGGACTGATCAATTACAGTACGAGTTGTTTTTCTACGGGATGAGGTCGCTAACCCTTCCCCACCGCTTTTCTCAACCCTCCTCCTTTATCCGGGCTTGGTATCGGCACTGACCTCAGTAGGGGATGTTCGTAGGTTACTGGTATTCGATCGTAGATGTTTAAGAAGCATTGCTCGTATACCGTGGGACAACCGAGTAAGCAATGCTGTCGTTAGGAAACGGGTGCTAGGTAAGAATGGCAGATCAATAGACGCAGTAGTGAAACTTCATCAGTTAAGGTGGTTGTTGGGACATGTGTTACGTATGGCCAACCACCGACTGCCTCGACGAGCTATGTTTTGCGATGTAGGAGTAGTAGGTCGGAAGAAAGTTAGGGGCGGCCAGAACAAAACATGGCACAAATCCATGAAGTCACTGACAATAACTGGATTAAGTCATGTTGGTAGATGTAGACTACCTGGTTGGGGTCCACGAGACGAAAGTCACCAATGGTTAGAGACCTTGAATGACATGGCTCAAAATCGTTTGCAACGCAATATCGCAAGTGCATCCATTCGTTGAGCTCTCTCAAATCCTAATTTTCTGGATTCGTCAACACCTCCTCTACGTTTGTCTTTCTAACCTTATCTCACTGAATTATATTTTTTGAATAATCTTCTTCGAACCCTAGTCTTCTTTATTAACATTAATACCTCTACTATCTCTACTATCACTATGGGATTTGATTTGACATTTGCGTCTCTGTGTGCTAATTTGGTGGTATGGTAGCAACATGAACTTATGTACATACGTACGAAGTTCTTACGTTGCAACTGACTGACTGACTCAGTAGGGCTCTCGGTGGAGTTATATGTATTTATGCAGATAGTAAAATCAATCAACCTTGTCTATTGAATTTCTCTATCTGTTTGTCTTTTTTTATCTTCTGTTTAATTTCCAGGTTTACATGAAGATGATTTCACTAAACGTATTAATGCATTCGGTGCTAATGTAATACCACAACAACGTGCTAAAACATTTTTACGTTTAATGTGGGAAGCATTACAAGATTTAACATTAATTGTATTGATTGTCGCTGCATTCATATCACTTGCTTTATCACTTTATATTAAATGTAAGTTGTGAATTATGTGTGTGTGTTTTTGTTTTGTTTTGTTTTATTGTGTGTGTTTTATTACGTAATATTGATTTCTTTTGATAGATTCTTCATTTTGTATAATGTTGTGATAAGGGGGTTGTTAGTTTATTGAAATTCATTTAGGCCACGGATTAGAAGCATGGAGAAGCAGTGGAAGGCTATTTCGTCCTGTTGTGGGACTCATCAGTAGTGGTAGTGCACATATGAAGTGGTGAAACTTCATCAGTTGATGTGGTTTGGACATGTGTTACGAATGCCACTAAACCACCGACTGCCTCGACGAGCTTTGTTTTGTAATGTAGGAGTAGTAAGTTGGAAGAAAGCTAGGGGCGGCCAGACCAAAACATGGCACAAATCCATGAAGTTCATGACACCTGGACTGAGTCACGTCGGTAGGTGTCGGCTACCTGGTTGGGGTCTGAGAGATGTTAGTAATCGATGGTTAGAGACCCTAAATGACATGGCTTAAAACCGTTTACAATGGCGCCGGTGCATTTATTCTTTGTGTTCTCTTAAATCCTAATCTTCTGGATTCTTCAACACCTCTAGTTTTGACTTTCTAAACTTTTCTCACTGAATCATACTTCTTGAATAATATCTTCTAATCCTAACCTCTCTCATTACTTCTAATACCTTTACTATCTCTACTACTACTATTGGATTTGAATTGACAATTGCATCTCTGTGTGCTGATGTGGTATGGCAACATGAACTGATGTACTTACGTACGAAGTTCTACGTTGCATCTGACTGACTGAGTGACTTTATGTATCAAAGTCAATTAAGCCAATGTTTTTTAGGGTTAAATGTTTTGACCATTTAAGATTCTGATTAACTTTTCGAGGGGGGTAACAATCAGCGAATATTGACTGGTAGTGAAATCCTGGAAGTGCGGTATTTTATTTTTCTGTTTTTAGGATTTCTTTTTATCTGGATGTATTTGTCTGTCTGTCTGTATGTCTGTAGCTGAGAGTTGATATTTATTCCGGGACTCGAACTCAGTATTGTACCACTCACTTTAAATGTCATCATGTGTTATTCATGTAGATTTCAGAGTTCATTTAAGCCACTGAGCTCGCACAATAAGATAAACATAAACTCATTAAAGAGGAAAGTAGAAAGACACAATTTAAAATACCCTACACCTACACACAGATTTACTAAAACAAGGTTTAGGCTTGCTCTCTTTCTCTCTTCTGTGTTCTGATAAACATGATAAAAATTCTCATTATAAGAGTGATAGAGATTATTGTTTATCAGTGAAATCATGAATCGTTCATTGTTAGACTACCACCCTTAGAAACCTGAAACCACTCACTCGTCCTGGTATGGCACTGACTTATCAGCAGTTACCGATGTAGTCAAACTGTTAGGATATTCATCCAATATACTAAGAGAATTATTGGTCAATTCCTATTGGTTAATTCCTACTGGTCAATTTTTATGGTCGTCCTATTGATATCAATGTCACGTCGTACTCCAATGTTGTTTCGTATTGGTTGTCTTGGCTATCAGTGTCACTTCAAATGTTACTTCCTATTGGTCGTCTTAACTGTCAATGTCACAGACTTCAAGTGTTGTTTCCTATTCGACCAAAATGTATAAATACGCATTATGTGTAATGTTTTATGACGTGGACCTGGTCCTGGATCCCTAGTCCGGGATCTTGATTCTCTTCTGGACTCGGACGTCGTACTTTCTGGATGTGTGTAGAATACACGTCCTACTTCATATCAAGTCTTCTTCTTTCACTAAATGGGTTTTGGGACAATCGGTTTCGAGTAGGATGTCGTGTCACCGGATCCTCGATCCTCACTCTCGTTTTCTGACTAAAGTAAACTCGTAATAGTTCAAGTATATCAAAATGACGTGTTTACATGCAGGCGTAACACGAACCTTGTCGTGTGTGATGCAGTCATCTATTGAACACAAATGAGCGACCTCGCGTAAAATCCTTATATTAATCAGAATTATGTGTTCACATACAAGGTCCGAAAGTCCTCGTATTGGAATCCTGCGAGTGGTAAGAGTTGTGGATGCGCGGCGCGCATTGCCACTGCCGAGTACCCCCCCCTTGCACCCTAACAGGATAAAACAGTTGTCGTTGAGTGCTACCAGGTTTATCTTAATGTTCGATCTGGCACAATGATTGATTGATTGATTGATCATGAAATCATGAATCATGAAATAAATAAATGACTCAGCAGGTAAATACCGAAATTAATGTTTAACCATATCAATTCAGTTGTAGTTTTATTTAAGTAATATATATATATAACATTAAAATACAATGTGTAGGCAGGACAGTATGAAAAATGAGTCATTCATATATTTTATGATTGAGAACACTGACATTTATCAAATGATGCTTTGGTAAAATGTATTTCAATCTGTAGGTGTAATATGTAAACACACACACAGACACAGTTATGTGGAGACACTTAGGATACAAATAATGACAGTAAAAGTTAGATAATCAATATTGTTGAGCGAGTTAGTTTTTTTGCGGAATGGGGTCGCCAGCCCTCCTCCTTTATCCGGGTTTAGGACCGGGCAGTAGCCCCGAAGGGTCTGCAGGCGGATAGCCTGGTGTGTGACGAGATCTCAGCTGGGATACAGAAGGCTTGATTGGTTTTTGCTAACTTGAATCACTTATGGTGTAAGGGAGATATCCGTTTGTTGTTTAAAGGATGAGTGTACTGCGCAGCAGTTTAATCTGTCATACTTTATGTCTGTGAAACATGGCCAGTGACAGTAGAAGATATTCGTAGGTTGCTGATTTTCAATTATAGGTATCTTCGAAGCATTGCTCGTGTATCGCGCGACAACTTAGTAAGGATGGTCGATCAATAGATGAAGTAATGAAACTTCATCAGTTGAGGTGGTTGGGACATGAGTTACGACGCATGTCTAACCACCGACTGCCTCGACGAGCTTTGTTTTGTAGTGTAGGAGTAGGCTGGAAGAAAGCTAGGGGCGGCCAGATCAAAACATGGCAGAAACCCATGAAGTCATCGACGAGTGGTGTTAATGTGTAACTCTGATTGACCTACGGATTTTTGTGCGACCTCACCCATTTGTCTTTGTTAGTAGTTATTGCTTACACTCGACAAGGTTGAACTCCTCCGTCGGTCACATCTTCTCACCCTAGAACTCTGAGAATTTCCTCACGGAGCTACTAGTCACTAGTCTGCACATTTTACGATATTTTCGGGCAGAGTTTTTTCCGGAGGTTTGTGTTTTTTTACACATATTTGACATCGTCAATCAATCATTGTTAGACACCACCCTCATTAGGAACCTGGAAGCACTGAAAGACAGCCGTTTCATCCTGATAAAAAAAGTAAAAGAAGAGAAAGTTTTCTGTGTTTTTCTCTTTTAGGCGATGATCTAATCAGACTATATTGACTGGAATATATTATATTCCTGTAGGTTCTATCATGTCAAGCAGATGGATTGGAGAAATGGTAAGATTCAAAGTAGCAACACGAGGTCTGAGGGTGAAGTCATGTACTGCTGACTGTAGAGAGGTGTGACAGCAATAAGGTATTTCCCTCGAACAACCAGCATATGGGGAAGGGGTTAGAAAAAGTTGACCGTAAAAATGTCACACCTCACCTTATCTCAAGGATATCTGTCTTTGAAGGTCAAACCACTTGAAGTGCAGAGCGAACACGTGAAATGCAGAGTCTTCTGACTACCATAAGCATGTTCGTTTATACGATTCTCCCACTCGAAATGCAAAATGTTGCTTCAAGATTGGGTTGCATCAGAACCTGAACTAATGATAAAGAGTGAAGTGGTCGAGCGTGTTGACCGCTTCACTTATTTCAGCAGTCTCATCAGTGCTGATGGCCTTGTGACTGACGAAATATCTGCACGGATACAGAAGGCTTGATTAGCTTTTGCCAACCTGCGTCACTTATGGCGTAGGCGAGATATCCGTTTACTGACTAAAGGACGAGTTTACTGTTCAGTAGTTCGCTCCGTTTTACTTTATGGCTGTGAAACGGCCTGTGAGAGTAGAAGATATTCGTCAGTTATTGGTTTTCGATTATAGGTGTCTCCAAAGCACTGCTCATGTATCATGGGACACCCGAGTGAGCAACTCTGTTATTAGGAATCGGGTGCTAGGTGAGAGTGGCAAATCAATCATTCTCCAATTGAGCCTGTCTTTGGCTTTCATTTTTTCAATTCTTATCCAACTGCTGTTCGTTCTTTCAGATGTCTTTTCCTAATTCTCGACGTAATCTGTTGTTTTTTTGGTCTTCTCTCTTCTCCTTTGTTGACCTTGAGGATTCCAATTATAGGCTGCTTACTCCTTGTGTTTTACAGTTGTATGCTTTTCACAGTATGTGTCCTATCCACCTCATGCACCTTTTTCTGATCTGGTATCTGGTTTATTCTCACACACAGTAGGTTGTGAATAAAAACTTCTCCAATTTGAATCAATAAACTCATTTAAACCACAAATCTGCCTTAATTCAATTCACTTCACTTCACTGTACACACACACACACACACACTGTTTCTCTCTCACCCCTCCCTATCAGATAAATTTCAAATTGTTCTGCTTGTTTGTTTCTATGTTACCACTCTACAGAAAAAAAATTTAATTAAAAAACACTTAATTTTTTCGTGACAGAAACATGATCGCCTATTTCAAGTGTCAACTAATAAAACTGCAATATCTCATATTGTGTCACATAGTTGGCACGTTTCTATTAAATAATCGCTAGATAGATAGACATACAATGCAGACATATACATACACCTGTATAATTATTGGATTTTTTTTGCTCTGGTTACAACGGTCCTCTATGAGTGAAAAAAACCACACTCACACACACACACACACTTGAATGAAGGTGGAATTCAAATTTGTGACATACTGTATGCGTCACAAATTTTATTGAATCTATGTATGTATGTGTTGGCCATTGTATGTGCATATATGTGTATACATGTATATATAT